GACATGTTGGAGAGATACAGGACTTATTTATTGGATGGATGATTGCAAAATCAGGTGCTCCGTGGATATTCATGACTTCAATATGGCACTAAGCAGGTAATCTTAGGTGTACAGATGTGAGTTTTCAACACCATGGGATCGCTCTGTGTTTATTTGTGACAGAGACTATGTCTATATAATTACCCAAGTGCATTGAGGGAATCGTTGGACATCAACCATTTATCTGCAAAGAGATCATGGGCTGTCATTGTCAAAACCTGCTGGGACCATGCTCCTGCTGAAAACTTTCATTAGCAACCAAGATGAAGGCCTTGGCACCCCATCAACATGATGGGCAACTGAAGGGGCTACCCACATACAAGGTATTACAATTAGAGTCCAAAAGCATCTCATAGCAGAGGTCAGGAATAGGACCAAAGAACACAGTATAACTTGCAGACACTTTGAGAGAGAACACTAGGCTCCCCTGAATGTAACTGAGCAGATATTGAAGGAAGACCTACCCCTGAATGGCATGGAAATTTGAATCCACCTGCTGAGTCAATAGTATGGTGTGCTTGGCAGGGACATTAATTTTATGGTAGGGTCCTGGTGTAGGAAGTCCTTCTGTGTATATGTTGCTTTTATTGGTTAGTGAATAAAGAAGCTATTTTGGCCTGAATAGAGCAATAGGGCGGAATAGAGCTAGGCAGGAAAACTAAACTGAATGCTGGGAGAAAGCAGGCAGAGTCAGTGAGATGCCATGTAGATGCCAGAGGAGAAAGACGTGAGCCACCAACTGGAACCTTGCTGGTAGGCCACGGGTCTCATGGTAAAATATAAAATAATGGAAATGGGTTAATTTAAGATATAAAAGCTAGATAAGCAATATGCTTAAGCTATTGGCCAAGTGGTATTGCAAATAATATAGTTTCTGTGTGATCATTTCAAATCAGGGTGGTCGGGAAACGAACGAGTAGCCTCTGCCAACAGGTCCTTCATTAGAAGCAGGATGTCAATGTCTTTTGAAATTATAGTGCTTCCACCCTTGCTGTGACATGTCCAGGTCCCTAGAAGCTGATGTGTAGGGAGATGACAAGAGCCCCGTGACTGCAGGGATGCTAACCCATGTAATATGAGAGAGCTGTAGGTTAAGGCTTTGCGGGTGCCTGGGAGGGGTCTAGGAGATTGCAGTGGGGAATGAGGAATATCAAGGTTGAGCAAGGACCGATAGACTTGCTCCTTTTGGGGTAAAAGGTGCACTTGGGACAAACAGGCAAACTTCAGGGAAGTAGATCACAGTTGCGTTTGAGGAGCAGAGGTTAGGGTTGAGAGTGGGCTGGGGAGGGCTCACCCACAGGAAACCAGATTTCTCTTAGGAGGTGGAGAATCGAGCCTTAGGAAAGTGCAAGTTTATGGAGGGCCTACTAGGTTCATAAGGGATCCTTGGTTCTTATAAAGATCTCAAACCTCATCTGACCTGGACCTTAGTATGTTTGGAGTGCCGTGCCAGAGATACATGAGCAGCTAAAGTAATTGTTTGGAAAGATCTCCTGCAGATTAGTGTTCCGTTGGCTTATCTCAGAGAAAATAATAAATTGGGCTGAAACGAGATTTCCAGCAACTTCTGATGCTCATGGGAACTGATACAGTTATAACCGCTTTGGGGGTCAATTTCTTATTACAAAAGGGAATAATGCCAATTTATAAAAATTTCTTGAGTCAGGCTTACTGGCACATACCTTTAATTCCCAGTACCAGAGGCAGCAGCAGGCGGATCTCTGTGAATCAGAGATTATCCTGGTCTACATGGTGAGTTCCAGGCCAGCCAAGGTTATGTAGTGAGACCTTGTGTGGGATGCACTGATCACATCCTTCCTCTAAGACTCAGGGACCATTGATGAAGAGAGGGCAGAAAGACTGTAAGAGCCAGAGATGGTGGTACTTCAAACACATGACAGGACAGTTGCCCATGCCAGATCATAGTGACTGTGGGAAGATGCGCAAGACTCCTGAAAGCCCAAAAAAGACAAAAAAATTCCCAATCTCACCCCGCCTTCTGGCATCCTCTGTTGGGAGAGGAAAAAAAAAATCAGTTTTTGTTTTGTGTGATCCTGGTAGGTAGATGACATTCTCCCAGAGCGGTGGGAACAGCACAGATTTGACGGATGTTGTGTAACGAACTTACCCTTGGGAGGCAGATGCAACACACCTGCCCACTTACCCCAGGTGGAGACCCCGACAGATCAAAGTATGGATACTCCAAAATCTAATTTGGTGGATCACCGAGTTTTGTAAGGTCACTCACGAGAGCAGAAACGACTCAAAGACAGCTGCATCACTAAAGCCCACCCCAGCATGGGTGACAGCTCACAAAAGCTGGAAAACCTGGAGCAGCCTGCACAGCCTTCAGGCAGTTTAACAGGTTGGAGTGTCCTTTCCACGGGACTCTGGACTAAACCTCTTCCAGACAGCGGGATCCAGTCTCCTAAGAGTCTTCTCTGCAGCCTGGCTTGTCTGAGAGAGACTCTCGGTTGCTTTTGCTTACGCTAGCAGGGAGGAACTTATGCACGGAGTTAGTTTGGGGACTTTCTGAAGCTATTCTGAGCTTTTTACCTTCCTGCTTCAACACGGTGGAATGCTTCAACCTCAGAGGAAGCTGTTACATAATAGCTGGGGGGATTTAAAAGAAAACGTGAAATCAGATGGATCGGGAGGTGAGGGTGAATCTAGGAGAAATTATGGAAGGGGGTGAATATGATCAAAATACGTTATATGAAATTCTCAAAGAATAAAGGTATTATTTTTAAATAAACACAAATAAAACTTTCTTGAGTTGTTCACTTTATGACATTTTATTAGGATGAAGAATTATTAATGAATATGAATTACACTTTCTAAAGGCTTAGGCTACCTTGGGACAACTTTAGGCTTTCCTTTAGTCGGGTTCCTGGCGTGGGTTACTCAGCCTGCTTTCCTGCTGGGATATGGCCATAGCTTGGTGGCTTGGTGCTGCTAAGGTCCTCCATCCACTCGCTTGTCACTTGTATTCTAGTTTTGGGGGGACGGTAAACAATGCCTAGAGACTCCCCCACTAAAACAGTCAGGTACAATCTTGTTTCTTTTCACACTTTCTCTTCATTTTTTTTTCCCCAAGTAAAACCCTTAGGATGAAGGTCAGATGCCGTTCAGTTATATGAAACGCTTAATAAGCTATGTGAGGCGGCTGGAGAGATGGCTCAGTGGATAATGGCAATGACTACTTCTGAAGAGGACCTGGGTTAGTACCCAGCCCCCACACAGTGGCTCACAACCACCTGTAACTCCAGTTTCATGGGGTTGTGACGTCCTCTTCTGTCCTCCAGGGCTAATGCACGCATGTGGTATGCATACATGCATACATACATGCATACAAACATGCATACATACATACATACATGCAGGCAAAGACACATACACATAGAATTAAAATAAACAAACCACTTAGAAAACGAAATGATCTTGAGAGCATGCCCACGGGGGATGGGGGAATTAGGGGAGGATCTCAATTAGTTAGGTACTCGGCAGAAATCACTCTGGGTTTGTCAATAACAAGATAAATGAGGCCCTGATTTCTGATCTCGATAAAGCAGACTCGGTTTCTGTCAACCTCTTGACTTACCCCTGGGGTCTGGATTTGCACCAGAATTTGAGGAAGCAGAGTGTGGTACTTTTGCATCTAGTTAATTTGGTGAGTTCATTGCCTGCTTATCCCTGACCTATTACAGAGCTCAAAAGTAAATAGCCCATCACCTGTTGAATATGCGTCATGCATCTCATTTAGCTGCATTTTCTAACAAAGAGGCACTAACATGAATATAATATTTTGAAAGTATTTAAGAATAACTTTTAGCAATAATAAATAGTAAAATACATAACTGGGCCCAGTGGGCAGGAGATAAAAATAATTTCAAATTTTCCACTGAGCCATACAGAGTCAGAACGACAAACAACTACATGTATTGGTATAAGTGTATGTATTGGCTAGCATTGGTTCTTATATGTTGGTCGTGACCCCTTTTGGGGGGTCTCTAACGACTCTTTTACCAGGGTTGCCTAAGATTATCAGAAAGCACAAATATTTACAATTCGTAACAGTAACAAAATTGCGTTTATGAAGCAGTGATGAAATAATTTTATAGTTTGGGGTCACCATAACATGAGGACATGTATTAAATGGTTTCAACATTAGAAAGATTGAGAACCACTGGGTTTTTATTTGTTTGTTTTTTGGGCTTGTTTTAATATTCAGGCTGTATACTGCTATGCTAAGGCTTCCAGAGATGCCCAGGATGGGCTCCCAATGCCCACACTTGTCTCCAAAGGGTACTTTTATCCAGAGGAAGCTGTGAACATCTGGCCTCTGAGAACATTCCTGTCTTGGGAGGGAAGGCTTGTGTAAGCTTATGGGGCTTTCCAGCCTGACAGACCGCCAGTCTTGGCAGCCAGGAGGCCTCCAAGAGTGAAGTGTGGCCCTTAAGTTATCAAAGGCTTATATTGTGAAATAAAGCCCTCAGCAGGAGGTCATCGGCTCAACAGTGACTCATGTTCTGGGGTCTTAGCGGATGAGGGCTGGGATGTGGCCCTTCTCAAGTACTGAGGGTTACATCACAGTGCTTAGCTTGAAAGATCCAAATCTGGTCCCCCCCCCCCCAGAGAGGTCAGGAAAAGCGGTTTTGAGGGGGCGACCTTCTAGCTTTCTAATCCATATTAGAAGATACAAGGCTGTGGGGGGGGAGGGGGGATCCTCATTTGAGGAAGGCAACCTCGATTTTGGGTCACATCTCTGCTTTGCGCAAGTCCTGGCTCAGACCCATCTCTATCCATATTCTCTTTCTCAGTCCCCTAGGCCACCATCCAATCAGCCCCCATCCTTTGGTAAGTCCGTCTAGGGAAGGCTTTGGAGGTGTCCAGGCAAGCCAAATCACCAAGATCATTGCAGCCAGGAACCTGGCTAAAGGAGAGAGGAAGACCCTGGACACAAGCACTGTGGGTGCGCCCTGCCAAGGAGGGCGGAGGGCGGAGCACGAGAAGGAGGGAGAAGGGAGGGCGTGAGAGCGAGTGAGACACAAGAAAAGCTTGCGCGCCACCGCCCTCCTCGGGAGAGAGGCTGGAGTGAGGCTGAGCAGAGAACCGCATTTCAATGAGGACCAGCCCCGGCGCATCCGTGCACTAGCGGCTGCAACCCAGACGCCCGTGCTCCGCAGCCCCAGCCGCGCCCAGCCCGGCGAGGACAGCTCCAGCAGCCGGCCACAGACAACCCAGCGGCCACCCGCGACCGGTGCGTGCTTTGCCTGGGCTGGGGAAGGTGCGGGCAGGCCCCGCGGTGCCATCTGACCGCAACCCTGGTGGCCCCGGCCAAGGGTGGACCCCACTGGGCGGCAGCAGCCCCGCCCGCCTTTCCTCGAAAGGCGGCTGCCTGGGGCTGGCCAGTTTGGACCGGCCCGGGGCGTTGTGTGCCCGCGGCCTCGGGGCTGCTGGCTCCTGCCTCTTTTGTCTGGTGCCATCCGCCTTTAAATAGGGAGTCTGGCAAGCTGGGCCCGGCAGGCTTTCCATCGCCTTGTTGTTGGAGATGGAGAGCCTAGCCCTAGCCCGGTCGGAGGAGCTGGGAGAGGCGCTTGTCATTGTCAGGACTGGCTGTGGAGCTAGGACCAAGTGGGCTAGGAAGGAGTGGCTGGGCCTGCCTTCTTATTGTGTGTGTGTGTGTGTGTGTGTGTGTGTGTGTGCTGTGTGCGTTCCCGAGTGCCCAGGAGGGTGGCATGTGCCTGGTGATGAGGGCTGCAGTGTGGGTGTTGCAAGTACCTTTTTGCATGGTCTCAAGTTCCTCCGGGGACAGCCAGGCAGCCTCGTGTACGAATTAGTACCTGCAGTGCTAAAAGCATGCAGAGAGGAAAAGACATTTTCCTCCTAGGGGGAGCGCACACACAGCACCGCATTGCCCCACAAAAGAGGCTGCTTTTGGAAACCAGGATTTTGCTAGGCATCGCCGCTGGATTTGGCAAGGAAATGCTTGTGGGTGAGAGAAGCGAGAAGAAGGTTTCATTCACACCGGCTCCCACTCTGACTGCACCCGTGAATGTGTGCCCAGGTTACTGTGCACATACTCTCGGCTGCCACACTGCAGGGTGTTCCGCAAAAGAAGCGTGTCATGACTGTTCCTAAATATATCTATCATAGCCTTTCAATGAGAAAGGAAAGTAGGGCAGCATTCCAGGTATCGAATGTTGCATGGATGCAGGTTAGGAGGGATTTCAAGAGAGGTCATATGCTGGACAATTTAAACGATGCTCATGATGTGTTCGTTTGGGGTGGTGCAGGCACTCAGAAGATACATGCGTGTGTCTTTTATTCTTGCATCTCTATTCACCTGGATCCTAATCCGACTGCTAAAATATGCCTTGGATTTCCAGATGTGATAACTAGGGTTTATGCTAGATGTGTGTGTGTGTGTGTGTTTCCAAATTGCTGAAATGGCAGCTCATTCACAGAGAGAAAGGTGAATATAGATATTCCTCAGAATGGTGAGAAATCCCACAAAGAACAATGGTGTTTTTGGGGCTTTGTGATATTTACAGGAAATGTTCACATTCTTCTCCACCCATGATTTGTGGTCTCTGTGGCTGAGGATTGAGAGTCCCTTCTTGGTGCCAATACACACGTATCCCAAGACCTCTGACCACTCACAGTCTGTGAATGCTGGTCCAGCATCTTCTAGCCAGCATCTTCTACAGGAAGTGTGACCCTGTGGAAGCCCAGAGAATTTTCTTCTGGAGTTCTTAGTTCACATGTATGACTACATCTCTGAAAGCTGAGCTAGTGGAGGCAAGGAGACAGCACGTGTTTTCATACCACACACGACTACCACAAGACTCATGTGTGAAGGGTGGGCTTTGACCTTCACTTAGCCAAAGCTGTGGCCTTGACAGCAATTTCACTTTGAGTTGGGTTCTGCTTTGCTGGCACCATCTGCACCTGATGGGAAGCAGGAGAGGTAATCCCTGCCCTGAATGAACCCATGACTAAATTAACCAAACTCTTCTTAAGTAGATTTATTTTCACTTGGTTTGGAGTCTTGTTCCTAAAAGTGTTCCCAGCTCAAGCAACTGCCAACACTTCTTGGCAGCTGCGAACTGCTGAAGACCCTTGGAATTGGATTTTCACTGTCTCTGGGCACATCACTGTGCCACATTTTGCTAGATCTCTGTTTATTTCCTCTTGTTTACATCTACTCTAGGAATGAAAGAATGGCCCATGCCTTTAAAAAGAAAACAAACCCAATCGAAAGCCACCTCTGCCTTTGTCACTTAGGAAGTTCTGAAGCTTACTGGGTGAGCTCAACATGGCAGACTGCTCCACTCTCTCCTCCCTCTTTCATGTCCCCCTTTGCCCCTCCCCCCTTTTCATCAAACCCCCTCCCATCCTCAACCCACACACCTTTTTGAAAACAGATTACTTAACAAATATATGGGCAAAGTAGGAGCAGGTACCAATATCAGGGCAGAATGATGATTCTGTAATGCAGCTAAGTCTACAGGATTGATCCCAGTGGTGACTGTTTTGAAGTTACTTACTTCAAAACCAACAAAACCACTTCACAGCTGGTAGAGTTTTAATAAAGATGCAAAATTAGATTGTGATTGATGGTTTGAGACCTGAGAGTCAGTTTTCCTGTTTGAAGGAGAGATGCACTGAACTCAAACTGAGGGCTTTAATCACACCATGCTCCTCCCTTTGTGCCTCAAGGCCCCCCAGTCGACTTTGCAACACAAGGGACCCTGGTTAGTTAGGTCCAACACAAAGTCACTGAGCTAGACAGGTGTGATAGCTTCAAAACTCATGCTTCACGTGGAACCAGGGCCTAGTGTCATAGACCTGGGGCAAAGAGCACCTACTTTGGAATCATGATAAACGAAACTTGAAAATCCAACTCCCTCAACTATAACTTGGAGACTCTGGGTAAATCCAATTTTTTAGACCTTGCTTTGATGGGACTGACTGACTTCTGTGAGTTTTAGAAGAGGTTTTTGTTTGTGTTGCTTTTAGAGACATTAAATAACTGTTGGCTGAGTCCTTCGGTCACTGTATCCTGGACATCAATATTATTTTCTTTTTCTTCGTTTCTGAACATCGAATTCTCTAGCTATATTTTTGTGTATAAATTTTCTTATGATAAGTTTTATTTAATCAACTAGCTAATTAATTTAAAGGCTTTTGGGACAGGATCTCATGTAGCCCAGGTTGACCTCAAACTTAACTATGGGGCTGAAGATGGTCCACCATGCTCAGTTTATCACAAACTTTAAATTAAATTGACTTACTGAACTGATACGTTAGTTTTTATGTAAACCAATTCTGAATGGCTTGGGCGGGGGTCAGTTTGCTGAACGTGAAGGGATAGTCACATGAAGACACGGTAGTTTTGTTGAGTCTGGGGAAACTTCCCATCGGTGACTTGGGAAGTACAAGGGAGAGCTTGGTTCTTCCTTTGTACTTCTATCTCACTTACATGCTATTTAAGCATGCCTGGAATTTCATCATGAAACGTGTATCCTTTTTGACTGAGGCTTTTCCCACTCTCCAGATGGTTGGGTTGAAACTGATCCTCCCACAAGGAGGACCATTCTTAATCCGTTACCTAACAAGAATGGCTTTATCCAATGAGCAGCTTGCTGACTGCAGGGCCCCATAAAGAGCAGAATGTGTGGCAGGATAGATCCCTTTTCCAGAGGCTCATGGGATGGCAGTCAGGTGCCTCCCTTGCAAGAGGGGGTAGGCGATGGCTCTGTTTCCACTAGCTACCTCTGTGCCAGGGTCCAGAATACAAAGCACACTTTATTTAAATAAATCAGTGCTCATTACTTGCAAACTTTGCATTTATTAGTACCCTATATGAATGATACTATTCATTCCTTCTTATTCCTTCTAGCTGAGTTTTACAGGTGCCAATCAAGTCGATATCTCAGGTTATAGAGTTAATAATGGGTCAAGTGTGTTCAACAGCCCTTCCCTTCCTTTCCCCTTCACCCTCATTTTGTAATCCTCTCTTATTATTATTATTATTAGTTTACTAAGCACAAGCAAAAGATCTGAAGTGAAGTCACATTTTAGCTTATGTTCAAAGTCTTTTTAAAAAGGAGATAGAACCTCCAGATGGATTTAATTTTTTTCTTCACCCGGCCATAGGGAGCACGCAGAGGCCAAAGCTCTTACAGTCTGACCATGAAATGATAACCCCTTCACTTCCCCACTTTTTCTTCCTGCTGATGGGATTGGCACACCACCTGGGCACAGCTCATATGAGCCTCAGAGTCGCGCAAAGCTGGGGTGCGGGAGTGGGGAGATTGTTCCTGGTTGAACTATCTCTCTGCGGTATTACTTGGGGGAAATGTGAGGGAATATTCCAGGCCCCAGTTTCTCTGCTTAGACATATGCAGGTAACCCCTTGAGAGGATGTGATTGTAGCCTGATGGGCGGTAGGCAGACAGCAGTGGGAGCTGTATATAACCAAACTGTGGCTGAGTAACAGACTGTTAACACGGAGATCTGCTTTTTTCTATTCCTTGCTTATCCTCCTCCTCTTTCTCTCCCACTCCACAACCCAAATACATCACCAGTCATTGCCGTGTTTCCTCCCGGCTGTTCTCAGAGCCTCTCAACCCAAGATCTTCAGGTAACCAGGTCTGTGTCTCTTTCTGGGGTTCGCAGGTTCCACACACAAAGCAGTCATGTCGTTCGGCAGAGATATGGAGTTGGAGCATTTTGATGAACGGGACAAGGCGCAGAGGTACAGCAGGGGGTCCCGGGTGAACGGTCTGCCCAGTCCCACACACAGCGCCCACTGCAGCTTCTACCGCACGCGCACACTGCAGACGCTCAGCTCCGAGAAGAAAGCCAAGAAGGTTCGATTCTACAGAAATGGTGACCGCTACTTCAAAGGGATTGTGTACGCCATCTCCCCAGACCGCTTCCGATCCTTCGAGGCCCTGCTGGCTGATTTGACCCGAACTCTCTCGGATAACGTGAATTTGCCCCAGGGAGTGAGAACCATCTACACCATCGATGGAGTCAAGAAGGTCTCCAGCCTGGACCAGCTGGTGGAAGGTGAGTCTTTGAGAACCTCTGGGGACCCTGAAGGCAACTGAGACCACTGAGGGTCACTTGTCTGTTAGCCCATGGTTAGGAGCCCCTTAATGCTTAACATGTTTAAGTTTCTGCTCCATAGAAACAAAAAGAAAGTGGATGATATTCAGCCAGGTAGCTAGCTCCTATTAATGACAGGCAGAAGGAAAATGTATCAAACCCCAAAGCATCCTGTCTGCTTTCTCAAACCTAGGCCCTGTTAATCATTGAAGTTTGTTTTTATGTCTTCACTTGCATAGTTCAGGGGTGTTTCTAGACACCAGCTGAACTATTGTGTCGTGATGTCCAAAAGGTCTCGAAGTGAGGGTATGAAATTTTAGAGTGGAGAGGGACTTAGGAAAGATACAAAATCCATTCAGTTTATCGCTGAAGATCCGAGACCAGAAAACTCAAATAGTATGTCTATGGTTATATGATAAGTTAGTGGTGACCACTGAAGCAAAAATGGGGTCTTCTAACAATGCTGTCCACTGGGTGCCTCCTGGGGAGGGTCATTATCTTCCGGTGGTATTTGAGACTAAGAAGAAATTTGTCTGTTCATATTTTTTTTTTTAAATCTAGTTCATTCTAACAGATAATCTGTTCTGGATGAGACTTGGCTATCATCATTTGAACAAAGCATGAATTCTTTCATTGCTGTAAAAATCATAACCAACTTTAATGATTTTGGGGTGCAATAACTGGTACTGAGTATCCCTAAGAGTCCTTTGGAGAGAGAGGTCTTTCTGAGCTTAAGTTTTGAAGGTGAGGATGAAGTAGCTGGCACCTTCAGAGCAAATGCCGCCTACTGTCGTTCTGAATTCATCTTTTTTTTTTCCAGCAGGATTTGGCCAGGTCCCACTGTCCAGCTGGGTCCTGGGCCTGTATAGGTAGCAGGGAGCTTTCCATCCTTCCTGACTGACATCCAGGCTTGCAGCCACATGGCTGCCTACAGTCAGAGCCCCCCTTGTCTTCCTCTGTAGCTGGGGCTTCTGCGTCCCCCCACTTCCCCTGGCCCCTCAGCAGGAGTGCCAGTCCAGGCCCAGTATGACTGGACACCACCCGGTGTGGAGCAGCCTGAGCTTTGTGTCTTGTCTTTACGGGAATTCACATCTCTTTGGTGGCTTGTCACCCTGCCAAGACGCCTGTAGCCTTGGCTCTTTTCCTTCTATTCAGAGGTTGGAACCTTCTAGCAAATTAAAGGGGAAGGACTGACATGAAATCTCTCTGTGTCAACTTTGACTTTTGTGCCATGTCCTTTGTATGACCTTGGCCAATACAAGAGAAAGTCAAACATTTGCTGGTGTTTCCCAAGCACTCTGTAGCAAGATCAGATGAGGCGGGTGTCTGACCTGTCACCAAGACATCCTGTGTGGGGTAGTGGTGCTGTAGAAAAGTATGCTTAGATCTCAGCATGCCTCAGACAGCAGGGGGACTGGTGCCTCGTTCTGCCTTAGGGACACATCAAACATCTAGGCATCTCGAAGACAAGGGTACTTCTGTTCCCCCCCCCCCCCCCCCCCCCCCCCCCCGCTCAAAATTGGCCTGGACTCACCATTCACACTGATCAAAGAGTGGCCATGGGACATGGCTGGTGACCATACTGCCTTCCTAGCAATGGCATGGCTGGTCACCAGCGTCTCCGCTCACTCTCCTGCTTATTTTTACCATAATATAATGCCTGCACCGAGCTATTGCTGCCTTGGTCGAAGACGGTTATGATAGCTGAAGTAACTGAGCGTGTGTCCAACCCTAGTCAGAGTCCTTGACTATGTACGTCCTTGTGGTTCCCACAGGGATCCTGAGAGGGCAACATCACACAGCAGCAAATGGTAGAGGTAGGATTTGAACTCAGGAAGGTAGGCACCGAGATGCATTATGCTGTGATGTTAGCTCTTGCAAAAGGCACTTTGGTGCTTTTTCAGTGTGTTCATTGTTCCCAGTGTCTTCTGATGCACTGGGAAGGCAGACATTCAGTACGACATTCTCTAGAAACCACCTGCCCCTGTGCTCAGTAGTGGATCTCAATGAATATTTTTCTTCTACTACTTCTTGGAAAACTTTTTTTTTCAATTGTGAAGCACAATTAATAAAAACTCAGAAATAAATATTGGGGTTCAGCCTGAAGACCAGAAAACTAATTCTTACCTTGACTTCAGTCTGAAAATGCTGATCCTGCCTCCAAGAGACCTCAGGATGAGATTGTGACCTAGAGCTGTCTTCTCTTGTCTTATAGTCCTCTCCAGCTCTAGAATTAAGGGCATGCACCTCTACTGCCTGGCTTCTATGGCAAGATAGTGTGGCTACGGGGGATTAAGAGTGTGTGCCATTGTCGTTCCTGGGATTAAAGATGTATGTCATTGTTGCCAGGTCTGTAATGCTGGCCGGTTTGGCTGTTTTACTTTTCTGATCCTCAGGCAAGGTTTATTTATTAAAATACAAGTGAAATGCCACTACAAAAAATGTTTTTATTATGCACTTAATTCTAAAATTAGAAACTGTTGATCTCAGAAATAGTCATCTTTTAAAAATATTTATTTATTTTAAATGTATGAGTGTTATATCTGCATGTATGTACGTGTTCCACATGTGAGCAGTGCCTACAGAGAGGCCAGAAGAAGGAGTTAGATACTTTGAAACTGGAGTTATAGATGATTATGAGTCACCTTGTGAGTGTTGGGACCAGAACCTGAGCCCCTGAAGGAGCAGCCAGTGCTCTTAACCACTGAACTGTCTTTACAGCTCCCAAAGTCATTTTTTGATTTTCTCTCAATACTTTCCCCACAACCAATATAGACCAACTGCTGATGGACTATTCTGATGTTTAATTTTTTTTAAAAAAAATATACCTTTTTTCTCCCAGTTGAATGATATCTTTAGTGTCTCGTGTGAGTCTGCATATTTTTTTGAATTTTTAGTTAAAACATTTTTTATTCATAATACTGACAATTAGTGTGCAGCTGCACTTAGTGTTTAAATAGCTAGCAATTCATTGATATTTGTTTTTTTTTTGTCTATTACATTTTTGCTTAGCCCATTAAAATGCAAAACGTTGCTTCATCCTCATTAGGCCCATATCCCTCACTTCTCAAGCTAATTTATGCAAACATCAGTTCATGATGTCAGTTTTCTATTTTCCCTCCCAGTACGCCAAAGTTTGAGTTTTAATTTAAATCCCTCTAGTCAGTGTGGTGCGAGTGTGTTTGGCTTGCAATTACTTTTTAAAGTTTGTTCTTTCTCACTTCGTGTCGGGCTAAAAATTCCAAGTCACTATGACAAATGTGGGCTTTATTTATAAATCGTATGGACACTTTCTCTGTTTTATTATTAGAATCTGATCATTAGGCATAAGTGTGCTCCAGGCACACTGATAGATTCTCAGCTCAATTTGGTGCTGAGCTCAAATTATGTAAGAAGCGATTGACTGTGTGTTTGTACAAACAAGTGATTGTGTGCCTGTCTGCGTCTGTATTATATTGGCACGCTGACACGTCTACTTAAGGGTGCATTGGAGGTTGCATTCCCAAGTATTTGCTTTTATGGCAGTCTTGGTAAGTTTTCACAAGCCGTGACCTTCACCGAGGACAGCTGTCCTGCAGCCCTCTTTCGGCAGTGGCTCACCTGGGGTGTGACCTCCTTCCCCAGTTCTGAGCCATTTTGCTTCTACTTTGGGGATACAGCTGTTGTGGAAAAATCAGAGAACCACACCTAAATCCTTTCAGACTCTTAAAAGAGAGATGTGGCAGGATCCTGAACAATGGTTGGCTGATTCCTTCCCCTGCATTTCTAGGGACGGGTGGACCAGAACCTTTTCATCTCAGGATACAAATGATACAGCTGCTAAGTCCCTGAACATCAATAAGTCTGAGCTTGTTGGATCAGAACTGTTAGAAACAATGGGGTCCCACCCCTTCCTCCATTTTCCCATGTGTCTTTGCGCAAGTTGCCTAACTACGTGGCTATAGGAAGGACTATCCAATCCGCAACATTTCACCTAGCAGTTAAGGGATTTCTTGCCTGGCCTCACTTTTATTTGCCTGTCTTTCAGGATGGTTTTCTTCCTATCTTGGAGTAGCTTCTCTGCTCTATGTAATTTCACTGTGCCTCCCTCTGACGTGTCAAATAATCTAATAATTGATTTCTGTAAAGCTGTAAAGCAGGCTTTTCCATGAAAGTCCCCGGTATGTAGTAGTTAGTTGTGTTCTTTCTTCATTTTCAGTCCTTTCTTAGTGTTACTAAACATATTACATCTATATGTAATCAACCCAAAATGGTAACTTTAAATGCATCCAGTTCTGCGCCTTGCTTTTCACTTAGCTTTAATACCTTGGAGACCCTTTCCTATCAGTAACACCCTGAACAAGCGTGCCCTTTTATTTACTTAACACTGCTTCTTGTATGGAGGGACCTTAGTTTAGTTAACCAGTCTCCTCTCGATGAGATTCTAAGATCGTGTAACTGTTTGTTGTTACGAATTAGTATTATAGTGAGCACACTTGGAAATATATTGCCCATCCATGTGAGTGGTTGATTTTAGGAGGACTGCCTAGAACACTGTTGCATGGTGGTAATAGATGACCAGAGAATTCTTGTCCACCAATTCCACTCTGACCACCTTCAAGGAGATGATGTTACCAAGTATCTTGTAATTTTTCTGTATATCAAGAAAATACTTCTATCTTGTTATGGTTTTAATTTCCATCATTCATGTGTTTAAGGGGCATTTTACATATTTTGCTATGCCCTTTGCTTTGTACTTTTATCATTTTCTGCCACATTGGAGTCTTTCCTGACTTGGATCTATTTCTCTTTTTAAAATATCAATCCTTTGTTTTAATGAGGTTTTTTTCTATATTCATCTTAACCTATTGGCTTTGTTGATTGTGTTTTCTGTCATGTAGATTTATACAAAAGTTTATATAATCAAATATGCTAGTCTTTCGATTGATGGCTCTATTTTCATGTCTGCTGTGTGCACTGGGTCCAAGAAGTCATTTCTCCGCATTTTCTTGTTGCATTTTTAGGAAAATATTTTAATGGAGAAGAGTATAGATATAATGTGTGAATTGAGGGTTAGATTTTACTTTTCAAAATCAAATCATTTGAGTAAATGACAAATAGTTCATGTAGAAACTACCTTGGTCTTACAGAGGTACTACAAGATGGGTGTCTTGCTCTCCCTTTGGCCAGCTTCCATAATGGAAGGCCTGCAGCCTAACAACACGTCCCAGCAACTGAATTCCATCACTTCTCCATGGAGGTTGGGGACTTTATTGCTTTGAGGCAAACAGACATTGCGTTTAGCTGCCATGTCTCTGTTGATTCCGCTGAGCGATGGCAGTCCTTGGGAGTCTGAATACTGTTTCCTTAGCCTGCAGATTGCCCATCTGGTTTGGTCTGATGGTTGGTTTGGTACTGAGTGTTTGGCATAGAGATCCCACAGAAGGAACACTACATCCCTCTGAGGATGTCATTTCAAAGAAATGTTCTGTCCACACGCCTTACCTAAAGTCAGCAACTTTAGGTAAATCTTTATTCTGAAGTTACTATATCCCTCTTGGCAATGAATAAGTATTGTAGGAGAACCTTTGAATCCTTGTGGACATATGGTCTCTCCTTGAGCTGCTGTTTATACAACTGAGCATCTGTCAGTAGAGCTGTAGTGATTGCTGCCATGGTGTCCTATTTGTGAATTTCTACTTCCTTCTTTATCTGCCACACTTTAGACATGGTGCCCTCCCTCCACTCTCCTGTCTCCGATCATGTTCTGTGATCTTACCAGTTCCCATTATTTTAAGGGCACTATTAAACAATGACCTCTCTCCTCAGACCAGACTTCCCTTCTGCACTCTAGCTGCCTAGATGTATTCAATTGAAAAGAACCCTTGGTCTCATCCAACTCAGCAGTGTCAATGTGACACCCCCTTTGCCACTGTCTAGAATCTGTTTCTCTTCTCCTGTTACAGACCTTTTGGGTGATGTCACCACCTACCAGCTTGCTAATATTGGTGAACTCCAAAGGTCTTATGTTGAAGCAAAACCATTGATGCGATGGTGTTCAAAGACAGAAACTTGGTGACTGGGTCGTGAGGATGGACTCACAAATAGAATATATGCTTGATGAAAGTTCCTTATGGGAACTGCCTTGCCCATTCCCTCCTATGAAGACACAGCAGGATGGTGCCATCTGCCAGGAAGAGGCCCTATGAAACCAGTCTTGATCTGGGACTACCACTTTCTAGAACCTCCAGAGAGAAATGTTTGGCATTTGTAAACTACCTTGTCCGTGGCACTCTGACATAGATGCCTGATGGAATAAGATGCTTCTAGTTTAATATCACCTGTAACTTCTCCCCTTTCTACCTTTCAAATCCAAGATGATACCAAGCCTTGTTCTTTCTGACTGAGTCATTTCTCCAATTAATTCTCTCCTTTCTTTTGCTGTTTGGAAGTTTCTAAGACATTAGTACTGGGGACTTAGAACCTCACCGCACTTTTAGGACTGAAAGAGAAATACACAGGTCTTCAGTAAACATTGTAGAAAATTTTTTGAAACAGTGTAAAAAAAAAATCCCTCCTCTTTCTGCAACCTAGCTATGGTCCCTGTTTTCTTCTGTTTCTGTCTGCTTTCTGCTGCCTTGAGAAGCATCATGACATAAACACACGGAGGAGGAAAGGGTCCGTTTCAGCTAACATCCTGCAGTCCGTCACGGAGGAAAGGCAGGGTAGGAATTCAGTGAAGGCACCTGGAAGCAGAGGCCTCAGAGCTCTTACTAGCTTGCACCTGTGGCTTCCTCAATTTACTTTCTGAAATAACCCAGGACCATCTCCCCAGAGGTGACGTCACCCGCAGTGGGCTGAACCCTCCGACATCAGTGCTCAATCAGAAAATCTCCTTACAGACTTTCTTGAAGGCCAATCTGATGGAGGCATTGCCCAGTCAAGGATCTTCTTCCCAGACAGCTCTAGCTTGTGGCAATCAAAAATCTAACAAGGACAGCTATTATTCTACCTCATCTCAGACAGGTGTCCTCCTCAGAGGCAGACACACACACACACACACACACACACACACACACACACACACACTGAATCGTGAGTAAGAACACAGGCTCTAGAGTCACACCAATTACTCTTTGAATCTTAGGACAGCTATTATTCTACCTCATCTCAGACAGGTGTCCTCCTCAGAGGCACACACACACACACACACACACACACACACTGAATCGTGAGTAAGAACACAGGCTCTAGAGTCACACCAATTACTCTTTGAATCTTGGTTTTATCTTTACTAGTCATGTGACCTTGAGCCAGCTACCTAGGTCATCCATCAGGCCTCAGTGTGACCCACAGGGAGAGGCTGTGGTAAGGATTACAAGTGAGATGGCACACAGCAGCACATAGCCTGATCCATGGCTAACTTACTGGTTCAAGTTGTCCTTCCAAACCTCCTGCATGGGTAAGAGGAAAGCTGCCTCTGGCCACTTTTAGAACAACTACGCATTGTGACACTTTTATCTCCACTGTCTGCTGAGCGTGGGTGAGTGCTAAGGATCGAATCCAGCACTCCGTGCTATAAGTGTAGTAAGCTGAATTCCCAGGCTTTCTAATCTGACCTCCATAAGAGCTCAGTGAAGCTTCGTAGAACAACCTTGAAATCTAAGGGACTGGTCCAAGGTCACATGCTTACGTAGCACAGTCCTGGGCCCGAATTTTTATATATAGCTCATCCTACCGATGAGTCCATAATCCTTTAACAAAGTCTGAATGACGCCGCTGCCAGCATCATATATGTTTACACATATGGACACACACATGTACATGTGTATGCACATCTATCTATGATATCTACTTGGATACTGGGGAAAATAAACCTGGCATCAATCAGGCTCTGTCTTGATGAAGGGGGATGGATGAAATTTTAGCTTTATAGGTTTCTGTGCTGTGTAATAGGCATGTTTGAAAGAAGAGTTTAAAATCCTTAGCAAAATAAGTGTTGTTACATGTGTTGTCCGGGTTAGTTTTATGTCAACTTGACACAAGCTAGGATCAGCTGAGAAGAGGGAACTTCAATTGAGAAAACACCACATCAGATTGCTTATATCTAGTCTATGGGAATATTTTCTTCTTCTTTTTTTATTTTTCGTTTTTTTTTTTTTTTTTTT